CGGTTCAGACTACAGGATTTAGCTTGAAGTCCAGTTACCACAATCCAGACACTATTTATAAACAAGAATAAAGTTTATTCAGTAGAGAACTTTAGCACAGACTAGAAGGATTCAAAATAACAGCCTAGGCAAGTCTTGCCTTAACTAAACAGTAAGAAACATATTTACCAACATCAGGGTAGTGTCCACAAGTTCAATATAGTCTATTGGAAGAGTCCAGGTATCTTGAGAAACAATAGTTCCATCTTGCAAGCACATGGTCAGCTCACAAAGGGGTCCTGGGACAGCATTTCCTAGGTGCAGTTCAACAGTAGAGAGAGGAAGAGAAAATCTGACTCTCCTCCAAGGGTCAGACAATTAAGAACCCCAATCTAATCATGACTGGCCGTGGCCATCAGCCAATCACGGGTAGGAAGGGGGTTTCCAACTTTTGGGTTGTCATGGGAACAACATCTGAATGGTCAGAGCTCTGAAGGACACACCCGGGTCATGTGCCCCTCCAAACTCTAACCCACCATGGCCTACATGACATGGGCCCTGTAGCCTAAAAGCAGGCGCCTTGAAGTCTAACTCTTCCACTTAGAGGTGTGAAGAATGTGTGGCTATATGGCATGGCAATTGACCAAATGGTCAGCCATCTGGCTGGCAACAGGAAACAAGGTATCAGAAGACATTCCAGGGGGGAGGCAGGGGTTTATAGGAATCAATATTTCTATACAGGGACATTAATATGAAAGAGACCTATGTTAATTAATGTCAATTCTAGCCAATGTAAATGTCCTATTCTGGTTCATAAAAAGCAAAAACAAATCTCTTTACTGCCATCTATAAAAAAATACCCTTCCATTCTTACTTCCTGTGAGGAGTGTGCAGAAACAGCCAGTAGATGGAAGAGTGTGAGACCAGAAGTCTAAATTAATATAAAATCTGCTGGATCACACACAAATCGTCCATCTTTTCAAGCATCCCATTTCCCAGAGTGATCAACTAGACACCTTGAAAGGCCTCTGACTGGTAACCAGATCACACAGCCCCCACTGATCAGCTGAAAAACTTACCCACTAATTCTGAAGACAAGCAGCTTTTGTCACATGGAATAATGGCAACTGTCTGTGGCATTTTCTTGACATCATTTGTACCAGCAGTAAATAAGCATTTGGACCCAAATGTCCCCTCCCCAATTGTATCATCTGTTTGTGAAGATGTTCATGTGCCAGCAAACAAAAGGAGGAGGAGTGTCACTGTTGTACATCACCAGATGGAATGGAAGCCAGCTGAGCCCAGCGGCACTGCCAGTGCCTCAGTGTTTACTTCCGGCCTCTTTAGCTGGCATTGCTTCTTCCTGTTCTACACACATTTTTGTACTAACAGTAAAATCCTATGAGTTTGTTTTTAAGATCAAATTGCATTTAAATACCTTTATTCCTACTAGGAAAAGATCACAGGAAGAGCCTTGCTGGATGAAACCAAAGGTCCATCTAGTTCCATATCCATTTTCCAACAAAGTCCAACTACATAACATGTGGGGACAAAGCCTACAAATTACAAACAGAGATCAAAGCCTGTCCCTGTTGCTGCCTCCAAGCAACTGATAGTCAGCAGTAAAGTGAAGGTTAATTTAGCTATAGGTAGATTGAATTTGGCTAATGCCATTTTAAAGCCATCTAAGCCCATGACCATGACTACTTTTGTGGTGGTGAATTTCAAAAAAGGAAGAGAGCCCATATCATATGTGGCAACAAAACACTCTTCCCATGTTCCGGTTTTGGCAACTTGGACGCATCTCATCCATCTCTCGATGGTGGTGCGGCAAGATGCAGCAGACGGGAGGGGTCTTGGCTGTTTCCAGACCCCCCCCCCGAGTCTCTGTAGGAGACTCTTAGCCTGGGGAGCAGGGAAGAGCCTCTCCTGAAGTGACGGCTTAGGGTTCGAGGCTCACCCGTCCCCAAGAGTTCCTGCCACCGCTGAGCCATTATGGTGTGTAGAGTTGACTGCCAGACAAGCGGATAAGGGACTAAGTGAAACTACCTTCTACAATGAGTCAAATCTGAACAAACTGCGAGTTAAGTGATCCTCATATAAACGACCAAGTCTCTATATGTTTGATTGTCTCGAGAAAGGAGCAGCGGGTGGGGAAGGGTGGGGGATTCAAACCCCCCCCCCAACTAAGTGGCATTAAAGCAAAAGCAAGAAATGAAACAAACTGCACAAGACTTTAACAGAGTGTAAAAGGTATAAATTAATCCAAAGCACAATAAAATTGGAGAAGCTTGACTTTAAAATCAAAAACTTTCTTCTTGTATAAACAATGGCTAGTAGAGGGAGGAGAATGGCACCGGAAAAGAAACCTCTCACAGGGAATACTACACCAACGACTCCCACCCAGACACAGGAAGGAGCTGCAGACTTTCCCAATATGCTGGCTATGGTGCTGCGCCCTCTGCTGGAGCAGACGGCTAACATCACCAGTAAGCTGATAAAACTGATAGAGCAATCAAAAGAATTGAAACAAAGGCTAAAAGTGTGGAACAAGATTTGGAGGAAGTGAAAAAAGAAAGAATGATGGATAAAGGCCAACCCCTGCAACTTCAATTGGAAAAATCAATGTATGCTTTACACTTCCAAGGGGTTCCTGAGCAAAAAGAAGGAAATCTAAAAATAATTTTAAATGAAGCCTTAGCATCAATGATGGACCTTAAACAAGATGTTCTGCAAAATGATATGGACCTGGTGAAATATATGTGAAATTTTCTTTTCCTTTTTTAAGCCCCAAAGGGGATTTTTTTTTAATTTGCATTTTCTAAAAACTACAAACTATAAAACTACAATGAAAATCAGGGCGGGGAACTACCTACTATAGGCAAAAGTAAAGAGAATCCACTAAAACCCCAAGAGATGGTGGTCATACAAACTGCTTAACAATTTTAGCTTACAGCACATAATTCAATTCAATTTCATTGAATGTGGTCATATAACAGTCATTTTATGCTGATAATTTGATTTTAAACATCTCTACTTCTGACTTCTAAATAAGAGCAATATAAGACTCATAACAATACATTTTAAGAGCATTCAGTGTATGATAACATCTTATTTTTTATATTTTGGCTTTCTCAAATGATAGCTTGTCTTCGGGGCAGCTGCCCCTAATTTAGAATCTGAATCCTCATCTGATGTTGCTGCTTCTCCTTCTCCTTCGCTGCCTTTGGTGCTGCCTTCTTTCTCTGCTTCAACCTCTCCTGATGGACGACTATGTAGATGCAGAAATTCTCATGCCTTTTCAACAGAGTCAATTTTTTCTTTCCCATCCATAAATTTAAAGATTTCTTTGTCTTTGATCTTCAACGTAGATCCATTTGTCGCTTTGAGAATTTGATCTCTCACTTGTCGTCTAGACAATCTTATAATCACTTCCCCAGGCAGATTATTCTTCCTTGTAAATTCTGGATATGATCGATAGATCATATCTATTTCGCTTTGTAAAATGTCCATTTTTATATCTGCCATAGGCATAGTTTGTTTCAGATTCTCAGATTTTTCTTCAGGAACCCCTTGAAATCTTAAAACATAGCTTGCTTTCTCCATTTGTAGCTGTAAAAGTTGAGACTCCTCCATCAATCTCTTTTTTCCCATCACCTGAAGTTGTTTTTGGAGCTTTTTAGTGTTGGTATCTACTTCTTTTACCTCTTGTTCAGTTTTATCTGGTTTTTTTGCTATTTTAGTCAATTGCAATTGCTGTGCGTTGAATTTGCTGTGCAAAGCTGTTACTTGTTCCAGCAGGGGTCGCAATGCTCCCGTCAGCATCTTTTGTAGCTCCATAGTCGTGTCCTGTCTAGGGGCAGGACTCGCTGGGCCAGCAGTTCCGGCAAGAAGTTTTGGTTTAACTTGTCTTTCACGTCCTTTCTCATGGGCACCATGTTTGAGATTGTTTACAATTTCTCAAAGTTATCACAGTCTCTGATTCTCCCGACACAGCTTAGTAAGTTCTTAACTGCTTTTATTTTCAGTTTCTCTTGCTTCAATGTTCCACCCACCCTTTTTACTTAAAATGCAAAGTTCGCTTAATTTCTTTTCTTAAGGGGGGAGAGTCCCCCCCCTTACTTTTAAAGGGTGAGTTTCCGCTTAGTTTTTGGTGCTTCTTGCTTAAACTCCAACTCACATTTCAATGCTGGATCCGCTTTACTTTGCAAATCGCTCAGCAGGCGACCGCCATGGCGAATGCCAAAACCGGAAACTCAAATTTTTCTAAGAGGTCCACTAGAGATGATGCCCTGAAAGCTACATCAGGGAAACTGTTGAAAATTAAAGATGAAGAAATTAAAATTCTAAAAGACATTCCATTTGAGATCCGGAAACGAAGACGGCAATATAAAGAATTAACTTTTTTCCTTCAAAATAACTAAATTACTTATAAATGGATCTTTCCAAAAGGACTTTTATTCAACTTTAAAGACAAGAAAACTAAAATTGACTCTGTCCAAAAAGCCAAGGACTTTTTGAACCAACAACAAAATCTGAACCAAGATGATAAATCAACAGTGGATGATCTGGAAGATGAAGGAACTAGTGACAGAGAAATAGATGATACTTCAAGTGACTCTAGCAGTACCACGGGAACTTCTGAGTCGAAGAAAGGAGAAGCAGCACCTAAGATGTTAAAAATGAATTTGAAACACAAGAAGAAGAAGAAACGTAAGAGAGAAACTGAACTTTAAAGGATTACAAATCACCTGAATTTAGCTAAAGAAAATTTACTAAATTCACTCTATTGCAAACTTGTCTTTTTTTAACACTATTATAGGTTGGATATATATCATGTAATGTTCTTGTATGACCCTTATCTTTTTTAGTTATAGTGTACTCCCCCTGGTCCCTACCCTTTAGGATGTAGTATATAAAATGCAATTATATATATATTAAAAACAAACAAACCACTGTTCCCATGTTTCTACCATGGTTCTAGATCATCTTTCTGTACATATGAAGCTAACATATGACTGGGGGGGGGACAATTGAAGCTGACCTGAGATCTTGATCAATTTAGACTTTGGGACCACATTAAAAGCTTGTTTTCAAGACATTTCAAACATTAAAAGTAATATACCTTCAACCCATGATGAAAGGCAGGAGTTGGTCTTCTAGAGCTCCAAGAATAGGGGAACTACTAGACACTAGTAGGAACTTTTAAAAAAAAACCCATCAGATACTGCTGAAAGCAAAATTAACTTTCCCTGTTTTGCAAACAAATGACATAAAAGACCTTGAGTTAACTGAGGATCCAACTCGACAGGATTCTGAGCAATCTCGAAATGGATCTTCCCCAAGTGTCTTTTTTAAATGGCGTATTGCAGTTCCCAATCTCAAATGCCCCCTGGAGTTTCTATCACCTATTTTCTAGTTTCAAAAAGAAACAGATTGTGTTGATGATACAAAATGAATTATGGGGATGGTGACTTTCTTATTAGAGACAGGCAGACCAAGGGGAGAGATCCCAAACAAATAATTCATTGGAGATTCCCTCCTGAGAAGCTGTTGGAGTCACAGCTATGGTTCATATTGTTACCCAATTATCCTAACGATGCCCTCTATAGATCTCTGTAGGCTTACTTTTAGATAAGACTCACTGGAGAAGACAATAATGCTAGGAAAAGCTGAAGGTAACAGGAAGAGAGGAAGACCCAACATGAGACAGATTGATTCAATAAAGGGAGCCAGACTTCATTCTGCAAGTCCTGAGCAAGGCTGTTAATTATAGGATGTCATTAATTCATAGGTTCACCATACGTTGGAAGTGACTTGAAATCACATAGCACAAAATCATCAATGGAAGTCTTGTGTTTCTTGTGTTCTCAAGCTAATGGCTTTCATCAGAACTAGATTAACTCTACCAATAAAAAAACAAACAGGACCAAGCCCTGGAAACAAGTAACAGCAAGTTAGCATGCCGCTCACTTCCCTTGGAAACAAAGTGCTTTTGTATCACTGGCTTATTTATCTATATGAATGCCAGGAAAAACACTGCTCGGCATAAGCATGTGAATCCCTGAAGGAGATCTGCCAGTATTTCCCACTTAAATTATCCTCCAAAGTTCTTTGCCAATTACTTAACATGGTTATGGGCATATTATCCTACGACTCAGTGCAAGACACTTTTTAAATTTTATTTTAACAATTATGCCACCTTTCCATCCAAATAGGGTCTCCAGGGCAGTGAACATTTGAACATTAAAATAGCATTTAAAACAATATATAAAATAATTCAATAAAAACATATAAATATGCAACACCAAAACCAGGGTCAATAACAGACACTGGTGGTATACCAAACAAAACAAAAAAAAGGCTTCACTTGCTGGCAGAAGACAACAATGAGCGTTTTGCAAGCAGAAGGTCTCAGGTTCTATCTCAGACATCTCAAATTAAAGAATCTCTGGCAGAAAGTACCTCAACCTTTGAACTTAGAGAGCTATGGCCAATCAGAACAGAGAATACTGAGCCTGATGGACAAATGGTCTGACTTTATTTTTCATATAATTTCATAGAATCTTCCCAGCCTGTTCCCACACACAGCTATACCATGTTAATTTCCTCCATATAGAAAAGAAGCACATTTTACCTGTACTTCACTGAGAGTTTCTGCCATGTTTCAATTTTCAATCTCATGTTTCCAGCCTCTCACAGTATTTAGCCTTCTGAAAGACATGGGACAGAACCTTTTGCTTGACTCTAGCCCTGAAAAGTTTTCCTCTTCACTTTACCTAATTAAATGGGTAAATTTTTAAGTTTTTACACAGAAAAAGTTTTTAAATACCTCCTCCCCATCCTAAATCCAATCCAGCCTCCCAGACAAGATTGCATCACCCTTTATCTCTCCCCTAGGTGGCATGTAGGGACTTTTTTTAAAAATGTGCTGGTTTTAACAAGGCAGTAGAAGGAGAAACCAATGGTCATGCAGAGCCAAAATCAACAAACCTCCCTGTATGTACAGTACACGTGACAAGGCTAGTTGCATGTGCTACTTATTCCCCAGAGATCTCACCATCTTTCGCTTGCAGTAAAGCAGAAATCAAACAATTATGTCTGTAAAGTAATTTTTTAAAAACATAGTTATGGAAATATGTGACATGGAAATATGGGCAAGAAGCTCTGTTACAGAACAACAAGTCCTGGTAAGTATGGAAAAGAAAAGAAAAGAAAACAACTGAGGAAAATGAAGAAATGGCTTCATAAGGTAGAACAATACAGAAAGGAGGTAGAGCCATGCCTAGATTGGGTTGCCAGCTTCAGGTTGGAGAATTCCTGGATATTTAAGGGGTTGAGCCTAGAGAGGATGGAATTTAGGAAGGGAAGGAGCTCAGTGGCATATAAAGCCATAGAGCCGACCCTTCAAAGCAGCCATTTCCTCCAGGGGAACTGATTTCTGTAGTCAGCTATAATTTCAGAAGATTTCTCCAGGTATCACCAGGGGTTTGACAACCCTAGGGCTAGACCGAAGTTTTGAGTGTTCCTTATAAATTGAGAGACGCCACCCAGCAAACAGGAGAGGCACGTGGTAATAACATGGAAGGTAAGACAGCTGAAACAGCACCACAGTACCCTGGGGATATTACAGGGGAATTATGTTTAGTCATGGTGGTTTAATGCAATCCAACAGAGAATTCATCATGAACAAAGGACAAAGGGAATGTAGAAAAGGATAGGAGAGTTGCAGTTTATGTCATGGCTTAAAGTATGGAGTGACTCTTTAACTTACCGGGAAAGTTCCCAAAGGGCTGCTGACCTGGGGAGCTGCTGGCAGCCTACACCCATTGCCCATGTCTTCCAGCGCAGCAGTGGCTGCTTGGCTCAGCATCTTCCTGGACTGTTTTAACTGGTGGATTATTGTTAAGTTGTTCCCCCATTACTGATTTCTTTGGGGAACAGATGCTGTATCGCAGAGCGCATATACACTCATTTTGCATTATTGACTCACACAAAAAAAGAAAAGCGGAGGGACTGTGGCTCAGTGGAAAAGTCTCTTTTTTGGATGCAGAAGGTCCCAGGTTCAATCCTTGGCATCTCCAGTTAAAGGACCAGGCAGTAAGCAATGTGAAATACCTCTGCCAGAGACTCTGAAGAGCTGCTGCAAGTCTGAGTAGACAATACTGACATTGGTGGATCAAGGGTCTAATTCAGTATAAGGCAACTTCAAGTGTATTCATGTGTAAAAGGTTTCAGAAATCAATCACATGAGTAAAACTTGTGCCTGATGAATTGTTAAGGGTTAATGCCTCACGGAGTCTGAGAAACTTTGAGTGATAGGCTGTTCAAACTTCTGTGGAGAGCATCAGTTAAGAAATGGCAGCTGGGAACTGACAGTTTAAAAAGTACTGAGACTTACTTAGTGAATTCAGCTCTCATACTTTATTAGGAGAAGAACAAGACAAAGTAGCAGGCTCGCAGGCCGGCTTATATGTCCCAAGGAAAACACACCCACATACACCCAACACCCATGAATGGTCTATTTACAGTGATTAGATTATTCCCTTGGATCCTAGTTTCCAGATTGGCAGGGAACTAGGATCCGACCGGCTATTGTGTTTAGGAGCGAAGCTCAGGCCCTTCGCTTTGCCGCATGCAGAACTGGCCGAAACCGGATCGCGCACATGGCCGGGTCAGTACACAACACAGTTGAAGAAGAGGGAGTTGAGGACTGACTGAGGCCTGGGAAGGAGGCAAAGAAGGATCAACAAGAATCCCCATTCATGCCAAAAAGGGAAATTGCTTCTAGTTAAGAGAAGAAATCCCTGCCCAGTGAAAAGGGAGGTGGCTCTTGAAAGAGGAGGGATCCCTGGTCTGTGGATAGAGATGGATTTGGGGAACTTGGTTGTATGTTCCTGCCTTCTAAACTGGAATCGTCAGTGAAACTCAGAAATCTATGCTTGTGAGTTAAAGCAGAAACGGAAAAGAAAGTCTCTCTCCTCAAAGTTTCAAAAACCTTGTTGAAAAGCAAAAACACTTACTTGTTGGCAACATATTATCTAGATTTAGTGTGATTACAAAGTTACCTCAGTTTTTATTATCGGTTCACCTCATACATCCCACCCCTGATTCCACCTGACCCCCCTTCAAGTTAAATAAAATATTTTGTTTATTTTGAACTTTCAAAAGCCTCTTGTGTGCCATTTCAGAAGTACAAGATAAGAAGGTGACTTTGTCTCTTCCTTCAAGTCCCTAGGCTGGGCCAGCATCAAAACATATAATAATGTGACAGGATGGGACAGCCATAAATCAACAAATAAGAGGAAAATATTGGCAGGGCTATTTTTGGGCAGGAACGCACAGGAACAGAGTTCCGGCTGGCTCCCAAGTTGGCCATGCCCAGCAGGAACCTCATTAGCATAATAGGCCACACCCAACAGCAGAAACTCATTAGAATTGGCTACATTAGGGGTGTGTGGCCTAACATGCAAAGGAGTTCCTGCTACCAAAAAAGCCCCGGTTTTGACCACAAACAAGGTCAACAGAATAAGAAGCAAAAGGTGGGCGTGGCTGGATGACCACACTTCTGGTAACATGGGTGTGTGGCCTAATATGCTAATGAGCTGTGCTGTCAGGGCTGTGACCTAATATGCTAATGAGTTCCTGCTGTTGGGTGTGGCCTATTATGCTAATGAGTTCCTGCTGGGCTTTTTCTACAAAAAAAGCCCTGGATATTGGGGTGGTCAGCAAGAAA